AGTTAATGCTTAATTTAATTTAAAAAAATAACTGAACTTTTTTTCTTTTCTAATTTTTTGTTATCTAGTCTTAAAGGTCTTTAAAGGTTACCTCGACAAATTTGAGAGAAAAACGTGGCTAACAGGCTATTAGCATAATCAACATGTTTCAGTCTTTGTATTAGTAGTATTGATCATATATTTGCAAATAAACTGACAGGAAAAATGGAAAAGCTAGCTGTTTCTGTTGTGAATATAAAACCCCCAAAATTAAATCTTATTTTAGCTTTGGTCGAAGCTTCAACAAGCCGCATGTGGCCCCAGAGCCGCAGGTTGCAGACCCCTGCATTAGGACAAATGGTGTATTTTAGGTAGTTTCAGTATTTTATTTTTTCAGGTTTTACATGGATATTATTCTTTTCAAAAATCAGAAAAATAGTAAAACCTCTCTAAAATGTGGTCTAAGGTTTCAGCTATTTTTATTTCCCAACCAGTCTTGAGTTTACATTTCATGATGGGTTTCTGCAGTGTTGTATTGTCTGTTGTTTAGGGTTTTTTCTACTTTTTGTTATTCCAGGTGAATTGCCTGGAACCACATCCCCATCTGCCAGGTATGGCCACCAGTGGGTTGGACCATGATATCAAACTGTGGGCCCCCACAGCTGAAACCCCCACAGGACTCAAGGGCCTAAAAGAGGTACTTGTCCCTGACTTCTTTTGTAAAGATCTTTTTTTTTCTCTCAGGATATAATTGACTCACAAAACTAAAGAATGTGACATTAACAACATTTTGTTGAGATGCAAGCTGTACACCTCTCTATAAACACGACCTTCCTAATGTAAAAACTGTGATTTGTAGTTTCACAACCTTAACTTTTTGACATGCGGTGTCTTCTCTATTGCTCTTATTGCACTTGGTATTTCTTTATTCATGCAGCAAACATTTTGTTGTGTTTCTGAAGGTGATGAAGAAAAACAAACGGGAGCGGGATGACGACAGCTTGCGCCACGGCGACCAATATGACACCCAGCTGCTGTGGTTCCTGATGAGACACATGAGGAACCGAAGACCACAGAGGGTGAGCTAATCAAGACAAGAATGTATAAAAACGTAGTTTCACTAAATTAAGGTATGAGGTTGTAAAATGGAAAAAAAAAAGGTGGCAGAAAACATTCACGCGTTCCTCTGTCGTAATCCAGACTCGCCGTGAAGGAGCAGATGAGGACACTGACGAGTCCTGGAGCTCTCCAGACTCCTCCGACGAAGAGGAGGGGGGTCCTGACCACGTCCAGTGCATGTCATCTTGAGCCACACGAACAAACACACATACGCACACATACATATACAGATATACACACACTTTATTGCCCTTGAATTGATGCTCACGAGCAAGCATTATCGACACACTGGCACACTCAGACACGGATGAGCCACAGACTCTTTTACACACACAAAAATAAAAAAAAAGAGAAAAAACTTTTCTGTAAACATACTGTTGAAGCAGAGGGACTGAGATGTTTGGCTCCTGGCTTTCCCAGCGCTGACGAGTGTGCAACTGGAGACTGCAACACTTCCAGCTTTCTAATTGTTCTTTTTTTTTTCCTGAGAGGTGAACACTTCCCTAATTTGGAGGCCCCTGCTTGCCCATCTATTGACATTCTCTGCATAGACCTGAAATGACATGCTACGTGTGTTCGGCAGCAAGTACCTCCAATTTTTCGGCAATCTGTAGTGAGCTTTAAATCACCAGCAGACCCTCCCTTCTATGTCGGTGCCACTCTTGCTCTGTGTGGATGAAGATGGGTTTAGTGGCGAGGGATCGTGTAGGCTTCTATGTTCAAACTGTTCCCTCTTTAAGATTTGAAATGTGTGCAGGAAAGCCTAGAGCTCCTTTGCTCCAATCTTTTTTTATTATTATTATTATTATGTTTTTGGAGCAGCTTCAGACACCAGTTGTGTAATTTCAATGTTTGATCCCAGAGCACCTCTACATGCTGCATCACCCAACACAGGCCCCTCCTCTTTCCGTCATTGTTGTGTGCACTTTGAATCAGGGATGCTTTCGTGTGGGACACAGACAAAACGTGCACCGTGTTTGATGTCGGGGGAGGAGCCGTTGTATTTATCGGAAAATTCGTAGTGAACTTTTCCTTTTTTTTTATTTTGGTTTTGTTTTGTTACTTGAGGTGAGATATTTTTCACTCGAGTGTTTTGTTTTTGTCTGAGGAGTTGTGGTTTCCTTTGCTTCCACCAGCCCTGTCCTCCATTTTTACTTTTCTTCTTTTTTTTTCCTTCCTCCCTAAATTAAAAAAAAAAACACATTTTTGACAAGAATTATTTGTTTCAGCTCTCGGTGAACATAAAAATTAAGAGGTAGATAGTATTCAGCTCGTGAATGGGAAAGGAATAATTCTCAGCTCTGTTGGGAAGCTGTTTTCATTTATTTCGTATTTTTTTAGGGGTCAGACCAGACCTGGATCAATCACATTTGAAACACTGCCTTTGACCCGAGAAAGATTGGAGTTATCTATTTTGGATTGTTTACTTTGTTTTGTTTTTGTTTTGTTTTTTGCCACAAGTCTAGAAGTCAGATTGTAAGACTGTTGGCAATGAAGCAAATATCTAAAATAAGTGACATTTTTGGGACAAGTGCTTGAGCCAGGTGGGTTTTTGCTGTCAGCACTTGACCTCTGCTGTGTTAAACACTGGTTAAATGAGAACAGAGGGCAGCGGGGTCAGTGTGCTTGACAGTTTTGTTTTTTTTTGTGTGAGAGCGAAAAAGTCCAGCTTTTCTCATTTTCTATGAGAACTGTAGTTAGTTGAATTTATATGTACATATATAAATATATATTAGAACTGTAAAAAATAGCGGATGCTGTTTGACTTAAAGAAAAAGATGTCACAACATTTGATTGGTATTGATGCAGAGATTTATATTCTATACTGTACACGGACAAAATACTTTTAAAATCCAGAGGAAAACAAAGTTCACATGCCCGTTTGCATTTTTCTTTCCTTAACATCGCTGTGATCAACAGACCAGCTGCCATTTCAGTTCATGCAGTTTTGATTCTACTCCTTGTTCAAGCAGGTAAAACGTTTCCTTTAAAAAAAAAATCATTACCTGGTAATTTATCATTTGAAACTGTTACACCCAGGTTTTCCTACTAGCTGTTTTTGGCATCTTGTATAGATAACAATTGAGGCTTTTGATCAGCTGTTTTTTCCCACCACTGCCTAATATTACGTTCTACAAAATCAGTTGGAAATATGTACAATTTGTGCAATAAACAAAAAAAAAGAAAAAAGAAAGCTCTTCATGTTGTCGTTTTATGGCCTTAATCTGGTCTGATTGTGGTCATTTACAATAGACTAGTTCTTTAACGTACGAGTGAAAACTCCACGTTTTAATATGCCGTCTTTGAATCAATGAGTTGTGATTACTGACAGAACATAGGGCTGCTTTTAATGTAAATTAAATCAGTTTATTTTCCTGGTTGGATCTAAAGTGATTTACCTAAAAAAAATTCAACTATTACAATTTGCTGGTTGATTTGTTTACTTGGTTTTGTCTGTTGTAGTTGATAATCATCTCAGAATAGTTTAAATTGGGTTTTGTTTGCAATATGAAATTGTGTAGAAATGGCCTTACATAGAACTAGATTTTGTTTGTAGCCTAATCCTATTAAATGTCTAAGAATACTTGGAAGAAAAATTCAGAAAAAAAATGCAGTGACCACTTATTTTATACAAAACATGTTGCTTCCCAATGCACATACAAATGTAAGGATTAAAGAAATATTAGCCCTTAAATTTAACTTAAAACCCCAAATCAGCAACTTTTTATTTTGACTTAGTTGCACTATCACAATAACTACTTACCGGCTGATGAGTAAATTGACATTGTAACTCCTGTCATTTTGCATACCTTCTAAATACTGTTGCAAGACTTGGTTCAGCAGAAAAGGTTTAAATTAAATTTATTGTGGCTACAGGTTGAGTCAAATGATTGTATAATTAAGCTGGACAGTCATACAGATGAGAATTTATTGAAAATATTTTTATTCAGCAAGTTTGAGTAGAAACTTAAACTCCTACCAGCAGCGACAAAAACCTCTTCAAATCACAACCAGTTGCATCAAATCTGTGCCAAAATCACACGACAGCCTAGTCTTGAACAGAAGGCCAAACATTCCCAACTTGTTCAAACACAAGTCTGACTGAACTGAATTCACAGTTAGACAGATGACCTGAACAAAGACTAGATCTATGAAAACATCTTCAGAACAGATTTTAAACACCTTTGAAAGTGTAGACATCAAAATAAAAACAGATGCCAACACAACCCATTTGTTCATGTACAAAATAAAACTGCTGAAAGATGAAACAAAAAAAGTGGCACAAGCAGCCCTTTGCATATTACAATTTTAAAAAGTCTTCACTTATAATACAAAAAAAAATACTTTTTTGAAAGAGCTGCTTGAACAGTGAGCTAATTCATCTTCAAAACACAAGGCTGTTGTAGTCTGAATCTGCAAGCTGCACTTCCTGTTTGTGACATGTGCATGTAATAGATCCATCCTGTCAAACAATTCACCATAATGCAGACAAGTACTGGTATTTAAAACGAGACCAGAAGTTTTCACTTGTTTCGTTTTTAGTTCATGTGTTCAAACACAGACTGTAAGAAACTAAAGGAGTTGTAGCCAGGCTGAACAGTCTCACTCCTTGTACTCCAAAAACTGCTGCAATCTTTTCCGGTGCTCTGCAGACATCTCCACAGCCCTGAGGAGTGAAATCAAATGGTATGCTTACTATGTAAACTACATTTCTTTATTAGAAAACATTTGAAATTCCATGCAGGCTTACTTTAAGTGGTCTCCAAACGTGGTTGTTATCCTGTAAAGGGCAGTCTTGAGTGTGGCCCTGAGAGCAAAGCGCAGTGTTTTGTAGGTGGAGTCTCCCATGGTGCTGGTCGACCTGACGGGCTTACTGGAGGCGTGAGGCAGCTTGAAGTGTCGGTCCACAGCCTGAAAATCAAAAGGATGCAGCTGATGCTGATGTACATACCATTTACATTAAGTTATTTGCTGCTGTCTAGTGTTGATTCTGTTATTTATTAGCATTTGAATGCATCAAAGACTATCATCTCCAAATGAACTAAATTAACAGCTTTTTGACAAAATTTTAAGGTCAAATTTAGGCTGCATGCCCACTAATTTATACCGCTTAAAAATAAATGAGTGTTGGAAAAAATAGTTAGAAATCGTGATTATATTAGTCTAAAACAAACAATTCTGAGTAGTTAGACAAATATAAGGAGCAATCTTCAATATAAAACATTTTACAGTAAAATAACGTGCCTCTTGTAAGAGTAGCATAGAGCTAAGAATGCTGGGTAATGTAGTTTGAACCACCCCAAACTGATCTTCTGTGAAGGAGGCTTGAACAAGATAAGACAGCCCTGCGGGGAGATTAAAAGAAGAAATTATGAACATCTTAGTTGTATTGTTATGATGTGCTTGATTTTAATAAAAAGAGTTTTGATCTCTTCTTACCTTCCAATGCCCAGATGTGAGCCTGACTGTCAGCAAAAAGAGCCTGACTGGAGGCTTCTGGGAGCTGCAGAACACCATGTGAGCTTGTTACAGTTCTTTAAAAAGGAACCCTGACCAAAAAGGCTTTTATGTTTGATCAACACCAGCATTAGCAGTAAATTTTATATTGTCAGTCGGAAAGTGACATCAGTTTGCAGAAACAACTCTGGTTTCTGGACCTTACAGGAGATAAATGTGTCTGCTGTCTCAGTTTGAACCTGAAGGCAGCGTAACAAGAGGAGGGATCACTAAGGACATGACTGGATATCTACACCAAGATGAAGATCAAAGAGCCGGGAAGGTGAGAGTAAAGTACAGGTTTACCTATCCAACCAGCTCCAGAAATACAAGTCAAGAAGCAAAACCTTTTAAAACGAATTGTTTGGGGTTTAAGTGTTTCTGCATCTTAAGGATGAAAAATTTTGCTTATGTTGTTGCCTTTTTACTGAAGACTTTCCCACATGACAAAAGTTGTAGTTATTGAAACTGTCAAACATGACCTAATGCAGTCATCATTTCAGACTCAAAATGTGGTAAATTTAGAATAATTTTGTGCTTCAAAAACATTTTAGTTGCAGAAAGCATTTTAATGTCTAAAAGCCTTTTAGTCAGAGTTTCTTTAAAAGACTCACTCAAATTAAGAAGTTGTTAGTTTGACATGTGTTGCTTCACTACAACATGCACTTGTACTCAGAGGAAGATGAATAAACCCAGGAAGCAAAGCACTCTATGCAGCGTTGATAGAAATCAAGCTCTAAATAGAAAGATTTGATATGATCAGAAAAGTGTTCCTAACATTTGCTTTATATAACAAGTTTCTTCAAAAGCATCAAAGTCCAAAGCAGATGTTATACGAGTTGTTAAATTTAAGCCTTTAATGAGCAAGGCTCATTGTGAATGCTAGCTGGGTGGAAAATAAATACATTAGTAATGTCTGCAAGAAGAACCAGGAGCTAAATTAGTGATGGCTCGGATGTTTAAGTTGCTGAAACCAAATAAAAATCTACTTTCTCACACAGGAGCATGCAGGAGACCCTTCATGTTCATGCACATGCTCCACACTTTCTTACCTTGGTAAACAAATACATTATCAGCACTCGCTTTGCCAAGAAACTTTTAACCTGAATGAGAAAATTATTATAAATATATTAAAAAAAACTCTTTTCACACTCAATCCTGAGCTAAGAGCATCATTCAGGAGGGGGTGTATTCTTCCAACACAGCAATGGCATGATACACTGCATAAACTGAAACCAGGTTCCTGATCACCCCCCACAGTGGTCTTTGAAAATCGTAGATGCAAATTTAAGTCTGAACAAACAAGACAAACTGTCTTAACCAGAATAAAAGGTAGATTTAGTTTAGCATGCATTAAAAGCTCATTTTCATATCTATAAAACGTGACTGTAAGGTAATAAAAGTAATTTATAATAAATAATATTGTCTGACTCCCTGAGTTTGTAAATGTGAAAAGCATTCTGTCTGGAAAGTGCTAAAAAATACAAAATAAATAAATAAACAAAACAGTATTTGATGACAGTGTATTAGCACCTGTTCTTTTCTGTTCTGAAGAAACTGAACCAGAAAACTTGGTTTGGTGGCTTCCTTCTTGGGACTGGGAACCGATGCTGGGGTAGGTTCGGGGCTGCCATTGAAAAGGGAATCTGCTGAGAAACAGAAGTCTATTGCTTAAAAACAACAATAAAAAAATATAAAATGTATCATTTAATTTTAAATCTACAAACAACCAAACAAACAAGATGAACAATACCATATGTGGGGATTCCCCCCTCTCTAACCTGTGGAAGTGGACCAGAGTTTTGGTGCTTTTCTCATGACATGTGGGCTCTGCACTGACCCGTGCCATGGTGAGCCCTGTTCCGGTGCCGCAGCGAGACGTCGCAGGGCGGGAGAAGCAAAAGGGCTGTCCAGGTCAGGAGTGAACGGTATTGTCAGCGGGCTCTGAGAGCTTCTTCCAACGGAACGGGCAAAGACTGAAGTCGGAGTTTTCATTAGAAAAGTGGGCCTTGGACTCATCATGTCTTCTGTACCTGAAATAAATGTTATGCAATGTAAAAATAATGCACCTTCCCAATAAACCACACATAGTGATTAGAAATTCTTAAGTCAAATAAGAACAGACTTGATGTTTCAGATGAGATTTTCCTTTCACTCCCATTGGACAGTGTTTTCGCTCTGCCATTGGTTGCTACAGTTTCATGATAGGCCACAAGTCTCTGAGTCAGATCAGCCAGAAGAGCCAGACACTCTTTACTTATGGCATTCCAATTATGAGGATGCCCACCTTGGAGTAAATAAGGAATAACAGGAAATTAATAAGAAGATGCTGATTACTGTAAACAACACAACCACAGTGGACTTTCATCACAACAGACCTGGCTGACTGAGACTGAAGACTTCGCTGCGTCGTGATGGAGAGTGCTGAGACAATAGTGCCAAGTCCTGCAGAGCTAGAAACTAACATTTAGGGAAAGAAAAGCCAAGATAATTAAATGTGATATGTAAAAACAAAAAAACTGACTCTAGAGGTGGAGTTTATATACCTTTAAGATCATTGGCTGCTTCTCAGTAATAACTTTGGGAAGACACTGGTGGGAATCTTCTGTAAAGGACGACTGCACAGGAAAAGTGTACACCTGTGGATGAAAGGCAACATGTCTCATTTTATTTTATAAAACTCATTAAGATAATTGAATCAAGTTGAGATTTTTCAAATCATTATTAAAAAACACCAGCACTGCTGCCCCCAGTGTTCAAAAAAACAGACAGCCATTCTGTGCCACTTTAAAATTCTGGTACAATAATTTAGCTCAGTGGGATTTTTTTTTTCATTGGAACAAAATTCTTATAACTAATACTTGTTTTTGTACTAGATCAGGTAAGATTTCAATAGAAAAAAGTGCTACACAGTAACACTGCAGTCTGATGATCAGTCAGAGAAAGTAAGAATTTTCAATCTGCCAGCATTCACAATACACCTCCTAGCTCCGTGAAGTTGTTTAGAAATCTAAACACAAAACATGAGCACATGCATTTTGTGTACAAATAAAGCACGCACGTTTATCACCTGTTTACATAGAACCGCTGCTGTAATGTGCCAGGCAGGGTTGGCAGATGGGACATGGTAAACTGTTGTTCTGTCCCTTTAAAACAACAGCTAGCAGGGCTCTAGAGTGCGACCTGATTTCTTAAAAAAATAAAAATAAAAAAGAATCCGGCCGCGCTGGTGTGACTGGATTGTTGTTCGGTGCGCCACAGCGGGACCCTGATATAAGGATTAAACGGATACTGCCTTCAACAAATCAGACAAAGTCCAGAGCTGTTTTGTCCAATCAGAGCGGAGCAGGGCGGGACTTTCAGTGAGAGCAAGTTTGGTTGAAGCAGCGGGCCGGCTCGAGTCAAGTTTCTTCAGGGGTCAGTCCTGACATCTCCTGCACTTTGCTCCTGAACTACCAGAGACTTTGGTCTGTAAAATCTAACTTTATATTAAATGTGTCCAGAATGTTATCGAACAGATCTGTCCAACTCTGTGTGAGTGTGTAAGAGTGAGCTTAAGGTGAATTAAGCTTTACCCACATCTCTCATACACAAGGTTATGAGGAAACTTTTACCAAGAAATTGTGAAATTTCATTCACAATTTTATTTAAAAAAAACAAGGTTCTTGATGTGCTAAACTTATTTATATTTAGGACCACACAGCTTTTCTGGGATAAATGTAATTTATTAAATGATCAAATATGAAGAATAAATAATTACATGAGCTGAAACCATCTAAATAATATTATCTTTTTTAAATAAAATAGTCTTTTAAAAAAGAAATCAGTCTAACAAATAAAACATTTGTATGTTTTAAGTTATTTTGCTCTGTGTGAAAGACAGATATTTGCTGGTTGGACTGGAGAGTGTGGAAAGCTGGTTTAACCAAGGCCGAAGATCCAGAAGGTCAAACTACAGGAGTTGTCCATCTGAGGGACATGTGTAGTCTAAGACATTTAACCATGAAATGTTCAGTTTGTGATGTTTATATGACATGCACCCAGCCCCTCAGCCACTTAGGTAGTTTACAAAATTTATGCAGAGAAAAAGAATAAAATAAAAACTTGGTGGACTGATTTGACTTGATGTCCTGAGACGTTGCAGCTGATAGGAGTCATAAAACAGAACAGGTGGACGTTAGATGCCCTGACACCCCTATAGATGAATGTGTTAAATGAGTGAAGGAAAATATGAGCACCTAGCAACAACCCTAGGTTCTCCCCTAAGAACCAGACCAAAATTTTATGTGCAACCCTGACTATGTGGAACTATGCCAAGTAGGATCATAATAAGTTTGTTTCAGCTGCTCTCTTCTGAAAGGGCCACCACAGCACGCTCTCTCGCCAGAACAATTGCCAAATCGTTCATGCATCATTCCTGATACAACTTGGACTCAAATTTGAAGCCTCAGGATGCTAAGACACTCACTGACCTACCATGCCAAGTAAGACTATATTGTGCCAAATAATAAAAAAGAAGCCTCAACTTATAAACAAACAATCACAAATGATTACAACAGTCACCATAATTACATTTCTAATTATACCGGACTCAATCTGTACCCGAAAGACACCTTTATCATTGCACATACCTCAGTGACAAAAATCCTGAAGAGCAGCAGTGTGATGTACCACGTGAAGAGGAGGAAGGTGGCACTGATCCAGAGGTGGTAGAGCAGGGAAAGGTCCAGCAGTCCGGCAATGCTGTCGAGGGGGTGGATGGAGCTGGAGGAAGAACAAATGGAAACCATTCAGCCATTTTTGTCACACTGGTCTTTAAAGTGTAACTTACCCCCCCTGTGAAAAGATAACTYCGCCMCAAGGCGAAATTTGAAAAATGCATCAAAGTGGGTAGGGGAGGGGG